ATCTATCTATCTATCTATCTATCTATCTATCTATCTATCTATCTATCTATCTATCTATCTATGTGTGTGCATGAGGGCACACATACCACTATCATGTTTGCGGAGGTCAGACAACTTATGAATTGACTCTCCACTATCATGGGGATGAACATGAGGTTGTTAGGCTTAGCAGCAGGCACCATTACTTGTTGAGCCATCTCAATGGTACACGTATACTTACGTCATACACACATAAATCCTCAGTTACATTTAAAAAAAAAGGTGATGTAAATGGAAAAAGTTTAAACTCTGCTCCATCATATGCTGTACTGCTAAGCTGGAATGTTCAGTGGGCTAATGTACTAAAGGTATTTTTACATGTATGTGGGATGTATACACTTACGTGCGTGTGAAAGCCAAAGGTTGATTGTGCTGGTCTACCTTATATACTGGAGGTCCTTCGGTTGAGGCGAGAGCTCACCATTTCAGCTAGTTTGGCTCACTGGCTTATTCTGCAGATCTCCTGTCTGCCTCCTGAATGGTGAAATTACTGGCGGACCGCCATATCCATGCAGCTTTTACAAGGGTGCTGGACATCTCTACTCCAGTTCTGATGCTTCTGTGGCAACGTTAGCTTTACCTGCTGAGCTATTTTCCTAGCTCTTAAAGCTATCTTTCACAGTCGATTTTCAATACACCATATCATCAAGATGTAAGCATGTGCTAAGCTGAGGACTATCCGTATTACAGAGATTTTGAATTATTTCTAGCCTCTAAAGAATAGGTAACTTAGAAAATCATGAAACTGTTTGAGGCCTGTTTATCTTTCTTGCACTGATAAACAGTTGAAGTCTCTCCTGAAATCAGACTCCTCCCGTGCGGTTCTTTGCTTTCAAGGATATCCCCCATCACTTTGCAGTTGCAATGGTCAATTTAAATCCAGTTCTTGTATTCTTCAGTTAAGAAGTTCACAAATTTCTATCTGAGTTTTAATTATTCTATGTCCTGAAAGTACAGCATAGCCAAAGGTAAAAGGCTATAAAAAACAAAAACAAAAACAGGGCATCTGGGGCTGGAGAGACAGCTTAGCGGTTAAGAGCACTGTCTGCTCTTAGAGAGGTCTGGAGTTCAATTCCTGGCAACTGCACGGTGGCTCACAACCATCCATACTGGGATCTGATGCCCTCTTCTGGCATGCAGGCATTCATGCAGATAGAGCATTTGTATACATGAAATAAATCTTTAAAAGAAGGACATCTTTCAAATGGCTACTGTTTTCTTCCCCTCATGCTATTAGAAACAGCACTAACACTGGAAATTTGAAGTCTTAAATTTAAATCCTAGCCTGGCCACCATACTTGTTAAAGACCATATCTCCATGTTAAAATGGAGGTAAGAATGTTTCCTTCACACAGTTAAGAGAGTCGGAGATAAGAAAACTAAGGCTCAGCAAGGTGGACAATGTCTCATATGCTAAGTGGCAAAAAGTGTAGTCGTTACCCCAGGGCTGTCCATGACTGCTTTTCTGCTACATAATACATATTGCTCTTACCTTTCCCCACCTTTCCCTTTCAAGGAAACTTCTGAGTACCAACCTCCTATGGCCTAACCGCCAACTGGGCAAAGAGAATATAGAACATCAAGGAATTTTAAGTTCCTTTCCATCCTTCAAAGCATAGCCTACCCTCCAGTTTATGTCTTCTTCTAGTCACTTTCAGTACATGTAGGGAGTTGTACTTTTTATAATGTTTGACTGTCCTGGGACCAGCATGACACAATCCGCTCTGTCATTACCAGAAGTGGGTTTTTGATTTTGCTGCCTGGCTGCTGTTTTTATGTCATAATTGGAGGAAAAAAAAAAAAAAGACACTGATCAGAAGCATCTGCTTTTTGTTTTAATGGCAAAATGACACTGACTAGATGATTTTTGTCAAACTCTTTGCTTAGACTACCTCTGCTCAGGTTTTAATTGTGTGAAGGCATAAGGAACCAGCAGAACAACCATTTTCCTCCCAGCTCTTCATACCTGATGTCGGCTTGGCTATTCCTCGATCTGGCAATGCTCCATATTTCTGATGCTGTTCATACCAGTCACTCACCGTCATAGTTGCCAGGCTTGGATAACCAGCTCCAAATACTCTGCAAAAATCACATTTCATTTAGAGAACTAAACAAATATAGTAATACTGGACAGCCTCTTTCCTCTTTAATGATGAGGCAGGTATCTGTGTCATTCTCATTCTCCCACATGACAATCTTTTGAGGACTTGTCCAAACTTCTCCAGAAATGCAAAAAAAAAAGGGGGGGGGGGCACCCAGAAGGAAGCATTAAATTCAAGAATGTGAGGATAGATAGCCCAGGGTCATCTCCCAATAAGCAATCCCAAGGGCCAGGACTCCACAGTGACTCTGTGAATTGGCAATTAACAGTTGGTGATTCTGAAATGTGGAGAATACTTTCTGTGAGCCTGTGAAATAGCATCAATAACTCCGAATTAAATCATAGGCAGGCAGATACATCCTTCCAAGAACTGCTCACAAAGGCAGGAAGAGTGTCAACAACAGGAAAAAAAAAAACATGTAAAGCATGCAATTCGAGTCACTGATTTCCTTCTGTGTTACCTGATTATTTTAAAGTTTTATGTAGAGGAAATTTCTGAGGACAAACATGGAGAAATTATCAGGAAAGCTTTAGTCTCTTTGCTGAAAAAGCACCATTCATAGCTGAAGCCATGACTTTGCAAAAATGTCCATTTTGCATTTTACTCAAGCATTGCATGGAACCATCAAACCAAGGCTTTGAAGGCAGGTCAGCCTGTAGCACTACCTACTTGGCTTGTGCCTTGTTCCGAGTGAGTATGAAGGGTTTCATTGGAGGCTTCTCTGGAAGAGATGAGTGAGAAGTTGATTCCTAAGAAGAAAATTAATTTTAGAGGTACATTTGCCATTTTACCCATTTTATCACACAGGCTTTCAAGTCTTCTGGTGCGGAAAAGGCCCTGGGTTCAAAGTTCACTCCCTTTCTATCATCAGTGATCAAGCTTTCTATTTTTTGTTTACATTTATGTCTTGTTGGGGAGTTAGGTGTGAAGGTCAGAGGACGATTTGCAGGAGTCAGCTCTTGTTTTCCATCACGTGCCTTTTGGGGAACAGACTTAGGCCATCTTGATGGCTCCTTCAGTCTTGAGAGGTGTCAGTACTTTGCTAAAATGAGAGAGAGCAGGTGCTCTCAGCAAACTTCTTACCACAAGGAAAAAAAGTATTTGGTTTCAAAATAGCCCCATCTAAAGAAGGAAATTCTAAAGCCTACTGCCATGGTCCACATAAACCCCTTGAGCTGAATCTGAAGCACTTTCCTCCAGTCTGACCTTCTGTGGAAAAGAATTAAGAGTGTTCTTCCAAAAGCCCTTTCCAATGTAATCATGCTGTTAATTTTCAAGCACCTGTAGGGTATTTTAGAAATTGATGTCCATCTGTAAAGGAAGTGAGGATAGACCAGGGGTTTTTATATAAAGGAATATAGGCATGCTGGAACAAAGGATAGTTAAATACAAGGTGCTCATTTGTTTTTTACCTCATACCTTCCAGAACCCATCTCAATCTCACATGAGAGATAAGACAGAACTATTTACATCTAACAAAGCAGGGCCAGGAAAGGACTCAGAAGAGTCTAACCTCAAAATGCTAGAAAACCATTCATCTGAAGAAATGCTCAAGGGGCCTTATGACCATGGAATAGTCAAAGTCCATTCTTTGATCCTTTAACATGGAAGACCGGATTGGTATTTCTCTCAGGTAAGAGCTCCCAGGCTTATTAGGACAAGTCAAATTAAAAAGCACTTATTCCAGGGCTCGGATCAATTACTGTGGTGGCTGATCAGGTCAATTCATGTTGTATCCTACACCAAGGAGCAAGTGGCAATAGAGCATACTCTTTTGAAGCAGCTCCAGAACAGGGTTAGGATGTTCAAAGACACTCTAAAGCTCTTCTGTAAGATTGTTTTTATATTTATGGTTGTGAGCCTAGCCTGTAATGGCTGAGCCATCTCTCCTCCAGCCCTAAAGATTGTTTTCAAAGTAGTCTTCTGGGAATTTTGGATATGAAGATGCCCTTGTTGCAGTGTCTGCTACCTGCATGACTGACTGGTCTGAGTGTGCAACTGTGCAAGGCTAAGGTCTAAAGTCTTTCCCCAGCCCAAACACATTACCTGCTTTTTTTTTTTTCTTCATCTTCCTGGTTTCTTTCTCTCCCCTCCACTCCCCACAGTTCTGCTTTTCTTACCCATTCTAATCCTGTTCTTTCTCTGTTCTACAATTAAGTAGATTATAAAGGTCTCCTTCTCTCTTCTTTTCACAGCCAAAACCAATTCAAATTTTAAGGAAAAGTAACTTAAGACACTTAAGTTACAACTTAAGTGTCTTATATTAGAAAGTATCAGGGAAGGTTGCTATAATGAGCTAGAAAGCTACTTTGGCAAATCACCAGCCTTTCTCCACTTGTCTGAATGTGAATAATACTTGTAGGGAGACTTGCAAAGATTAATTTTTTTGTAGTGCTAAGAGTTAAAATGAGGGCTCTGTCCATGCTGGACAAGTTCTCCATCACTGAGCTACTTTTCCAGTGTTTTATAATTTTTGAGATCTTTTGTTTTATATCTCAAGTGACTCCTTTGGCTTTGAACTCTGTATAGCTCACACAGACCTCAAGCTTGTGATCCTTGTGCCTCAGACTCCTCAGTAGCCAGAATTGTAAGTGTGCATCACTACATCCAACTAAAAGTTTTCATTTGGCTTCTCTCCTGCAGAATGTTCAAACTTCTGGTGGCAGCTTTCCATTGCTATGTGGGCAAGGACAAGGCTTACCTCTCTTGGAGAGTCTTTTTCTTTCAGGATCTTTATTTCCTGGTCAATGCTCTCAATCTCTTCTAAGCTGATACCAATCCACCTCCGAAGATGAAGGAGGTAATATTCGCGAACACGCTCATCATCTGCTTGACCACTTTCCACAGCAGATTTCAGTGCAGACAACCTATGCTCCACCTCCTTCTTCTGCTTGTATCTGTTCCATAGAAAAGCATTACCCATGAACTTAAAAATACAGATTTCTTCAAAAGGTGGCTATAGTTAGGTCTCTCTTTGCAGATGTCCAGGCAGCATGTGTGCCAATTCCTACATTGGAACTAGAGTCTATTATCTAGGAATAGATTCTACAATCCAGAACAAATACCCAGACTACAAAGCAATAAAAAGCCTATGCATAGTATGATCTCAGTGAGACCTATCATCTTTTAGGATGAGATGCTCTAGTCATTTGGCCATCAGTGCCAGAGTGCTTCCTGTAAGTCCTCCACTTCCAAGATATCTTCACAGAATGCCAAAATCTTACAGGTTACTGTTTCCCTGCCACCAATGTAGGACTTCCTTATGAAACTGCTGAAAAGTTGGTCATCATTTTTCTTTCATGCAAAATATTCCTGAAGTAATCTTGACTCATCGCTACATAGTTTTAAGATTCAATGATCTCAGATGTCATTTTCAGGATGCATTTCTAGTACCTATCATTCATATCTATTATCTATCATTCATATCTATTATCTGTCAATAGATAAGACAATAGATAATCTGTCAATTATCTCAAGAGTATGATATGCACTTTTAGTGCTACAGGCAGTTTATAAAAGACAGTCTTTGCTTTCATCAGCTTTCATTCTAGTGGAGGAAGACAGATCAAAAAGAACAGGTAAGTTAGATGAGGATACATGTACATGCTATGACGCAGCAAAAAGCAAAGGGAATGGACAGAACAATAGTGCAGAAGTAGGCATGCTAGTATATACAAAGTGAGCAGAAGCAACCTTTCTGAAGGGATGACCTGAGGAAAGACATCAAAGAAGAAGGCAGGAAGTCATCATGATATCCAGAAGATTATTCTAAGAGGGAAAAGCAACTGTGTATGGAGGAGTGTCTAGAATAGACAGAAAGCAGGGAAAGGAAGTAAGATACCAAGTTTAGGTAATGATGGTCATAAGAAATAGGGCGACAGCACTGCTGGTAGCAAGAGATGGATGCATTTAAAATACAAAACAGGCAACATGTTGGATATGAAGGCCTACGACAAACAGGAGCCAAGTAAAAAATGTCAGGGTTGCCAAGAGAAGTCTACCAAAACCCCTCCTCCTGGAAGCCCCACTCTGCGCTTCTACAAAAGAAGTTCTTCTGCAGGAGCACCTAAAAAAGATCTTAATTTCAAGTTGAGAGAGCACTTAAGGTGAGGAGATAGTCCTTGAATTTCTCAACGTTTATACAGAACTCTATGTAGATGTGTTATCTTCTTTCTTTCCTCTGCATGCATGCCTTCTTCCTCTTCTCTCATTTCCCCACCCCTTTGCTGTCCTTTTCCAGCTTATTTTGCCAAGGAGAGGTTTTATTCCAAAGTCAAGGACTACTGCACTTTAAGAGACTGTTACAAAAATGTTTAGGCTTTTCTTTAGCCCACCAAGAAAGCATCTTGTATGCTACAAATTGTTACGGCATCACCATATGTAGCCTTCTGGGTAAAAGAATACAAAGGCCCATTCCTAGCTCAGTTGCTACTACAAAAATTACTTAAGAATGTTTAATTGGTTCCACAAGTGGCCACTCATTCTCTTCCATGGAGGTGCCTGTATCACAGGAGAAGAACCTAAAAGGGTCTTGGGATGTATATTCTCCAGCGTGAATTCTGGGTGAGTATAGTAGTCCACTAAGTAAAGTTTTTTTGGCATTTCTCCTTCTCTATGATTAATCACCTCATGCACTCTCTGCTCTGTTCCTTCTTTTCTATGTCCTTTCTTCTGGGACTTAGCTCTTTCTACCCTTTAGATTCCTGGCTCTTCAGTACCCGTTCTTTCAGGCCAATGGCTTCAAAAAAGATACAAAAACTTTTCTTTCAGAAAAGGAACTTTTTTTTTTTTTTCACACGAGAATTTGAATAAAAAGGACCCCAGTAAGATACAGAAAACAAAAACAAACAAACAATGTGTCTTGGTAAAATTAGAGAACGCCTCCCAACATTACTCACAGTACTGGAACCATCAGGCCCTGAAAGACAGACTAACAACAACCATCCTAGACTACATCAGTGTCCTAAGCGCCCCCCGCACCCCCCAGGGTGGACCAACTGCTACCTTAGGAATTCCTTGTCTCTATAACCACCTTGACTTGGGAGTTTCCTTTTGCTGTTTCTAAGCAGATACAGAATGCTAAGAAATTACGAATCTGAATCAAATGGGCCAACCACAAATGTCTACTGTCAGACGTGGTTATCTTTTGTGGCAATTACACACCAGGATCATGCTTACCTGATGGCCAGGCAGTTATAACGCTAAATTTTCCTCTAGTCCTCATCTATCATTCCATCCTGCTTTTTAGCAGTGTTGTCCCTATCCACTTCGTTCAGGCCCCACTGTCAGTTGTCTGCTTTTATTACTCATAGCTGTAAGTTTTCACTCTACTGTTGTCTAACACCCCTACCCAGAATCACCTTTCTACAACTTACTTCATACCCTTTCATGTGACCACTCTTCTATGCGTTAGAAAGGCAGTTTCAACTCTAGCTTAACCGTATACTAACTATGTAAGTTTGGTCAAGTCAATTTGAAAAAGCACATTCCTGTATCTCTATAATGTGGATCTACTTCATGGGGTTGTTAGAGGATCAAACGGTAAAACGCACATGAAAATTCTTTGTAAACAGCACAACAAACATTGCTAGCAGATGAGAAGACTGAGCTTGGGGAGGGGATGGGGAGAGAGCATGCCCCATCTATTAAGTGGTAGAAAATAGTCCCCCCAAGATGGTCTGATTCTAAGAATCAATTTTTGCAATGTCTATCTGTCTCTCCAGATACCTCCAAGCTTTAACTATGATCAAATTACTGGACTGGGTACCATGAAATACAATACAAATGAAATACTAATATACTACTAGTCAAGGTCTCTGACTTAAGAAGTTCCAAGTCTAGAGACTGAAACAGTTGTACTATGCTAAACAGCATAAATTAAAGTATGTGTTAAGGTGTGTGTAACAGTGTGTATGTGTGTGTGTAAGTGTATAGGGGAGTATGTAGGGAGAGTCCGTAGAATGGATATAACATTTTGCTTTTGAAAATTCTTCTATTTGTACTTTGTTAGGTCTCTTCTGATTGTTATTTCCTTCCTTCTTCTCTCCTAACTTGCCCACAGCTGAATTCTTAGCTTTTTTTCCCTACATGCTTTCCCCTTGGAACTCACCAAAGTAGAGAGATACTTTTTTTTTTGCATCAATAACAACACAAAAAGTCTTAGTTGCATATTTCCATTTGTCTATGGAAGTGGCTGTCTAGTTGTCACTTAAGAACCTAAATCCACTAGGTTTTATTACTTACCGAACTTCTATGTTTGTTTCTGTTAAAAGAATGGAGTTACTGTTATTCAATCACACTCATACTTAGTCCTCAAAGAAGATTAAGAGAATATGCACAGGGAAGCAGATATGAGAGAAGACATACCATTTAGGTGTTTTATTTAGGACAGTCTCAGTATCTAGAGTCACGAAAAGAAAGAGTTACAGAAACTTAAGAGTCTGAGTAATTTGGGGGGATGGTGTTTGTTTGCAGTATGGGAGACTGAGCCCAGGCCCTCAAGCATTCAAGGTAAGCACTCTATTGTTTAGCTACCAAATTTGCCTCAAATAATTTTTTTAGTCATATAAATGCTTTTTACAAAAGTAGTATCCATCTATTAAGTTCCCTTTTATCATTTCACTCCAGTTGGACTACTGTTAAGTTGTGGTCCAACTGTTTCCTTTCAGTATTCTAAACACAGCACTTCATGAAGACCTCTGTTCATACTATATCTCAGAGCTTCTGTCAAACCAGACTATCATCTATTCCCTATACATACTTAAATCTACTTCTGCTTGGAATATGCTCATGTTTTTCTCCTATTTGTCAACAGTAAGCATTGTTGGAGCACATACCAGGCCCTGTGCTAGGCATACCAAAGTGAACAAGAGACAAATGGTTCCTACTCTTATAGAGCACACAGTCTAGTAGGAACAAGACAAACCAGAGATGGACACAAGACATAACTGCACATGGGCTACATGCCATGAAGCAAACAAATGTGGAGGGAAAGAGAGAATGCTAGATGTCGACTACTTAAAGAGACTGGTGTGGAAAGGGATCTGTAAAGAATTAACATTTAAGCCGAGACCTAAACAGTAAAGATTGGCCATATGGAGGAAACTTAATACAAAGAGAACAGCACATACACAGAAGGAAAGAGCTGGACTGTTCAAAGAACTAGAAGGCAGCCACTGTAGATAGAGTCTGATGGACAAGTGAAGGATGGCACGTAATAGAAGTGGAGAAACAGACATCAGAGTACACAGGGCCTTGGCTACCTAAGGCTGGGAGGCACTGATGGCTTAGACCCAAGTGTGCTAACAGAGATGGAAGGCAACAGGACATCTTTTGTTACTAGAGTTGACAGCCCTTGCTGATGGGCTAGATGACACATTTCAGATAAAGGTATGCATACCTCACAGGTTTCCTGCTTACACAGCCAGGTGAATGGCAGTGCACTTATTAAAATAGAAGACGTTTGTATGTGGGCACATTTGGGAGGGAGAAGTCAAGCTTTTGAGTGCTGGAGATGTAGAGTGCTTCCCTAGTATGCACGAGGCCCTGGAATCAATCCCTAGCACCACAACAGAAAAGGAAAAGGAAGAAATAGGAAAAAAAAAGGAGTATCTATGAAATACCCATAAGTGGTGTTAGAATCACAGTCAGAAGAATTATAGGATAGTAACATGAGTCCAGGAGCATTAGTATAAAGGTACTGTTGACAACTCAACCTGTCACATAGTTTTTTGTTTGTTTGTTTGTTTGTTTGTTTGTTTTTTAATGTTCAAAGGTCAAGATTACAGGCCAAAGACATGGAAACCGAAGTGAGAATACCTTTTTCTGTTTGACTAATGCGATTTTCTAGTGTTGACATCCAGTATGTGTGATTCTAAGTAATACCATGAACAAATTTTTGTATGGCTTTGGTTACTGTTCCCTTGGACTAGGTTCCTCTCAATACTTTAAGACTCTTGAGATATGGCAACAATGTTGCCTTCCACAAGAACAGTCTTAAAGTATTGAGAGGAACCTAGTCCAAGGGAACAGTAACCAAAGCCATACAAAAATTTGTTCATGGTATTACTTAGAATCACACATACACACCCCAGGCAAAACAAACAAACAAACAAATAAACAAGCAAACAAACAAGAGAAAACACCCCAAAATGCAAGCAAGCAAAACCAGATCTAAATACTTGACAGAAATAGTTTAAATGATTTTGGTACAACTATAGAATGGAACATTACAAAACCATCAAATATGGTTTCAAATGACAGGGGAAATGCTCACAATATTAGTTTTTAAAAGACAGGATAAAAGCTGTATTTACAGTATTCTTCATAATTTATTAACTAAAATAATTGTATATCTGAAAGAAAACACAGCAGAAAGTTAACAGTGACATATATGAATGCTGATTAAGAGTTATTTATGATTTAAAAATATTCTTCTTGTGCAAATTATCAACAATAAGCATTATTACTTTCACATTCATGAAGTCTAGTTTCTATTTTTAGTGATCTTTTAAGACTCATCTTACAGGTTGTTGCTCTGAAAGCTTTTCCTCAGTCCTCCAGCTCAGTGTTGTCACTCCCTTACCTTTCTCTATTATCTCAAGGCATTTATTCTTTCTGGGTACAATTATTTAGACACAAGAGTCACTATTTAGTTTCTGATCTATGCTTATGGGCAGTCCACAGTTTCACATAGAGGATTCTGGAATCCATTTTGTATCATTCTAGCCCATGTCTTTTTTTTTTTTTTTAATCGCTTACTACCACTCACTGCTCCCTAACTACATTTTCTTATTCTCCCTACCATTAGGACCTGAACTTGAAATATCCAAAAATTCCTCCTCTCTTCTGCTATCTCTCTCTGTGTATATGCACATGCACTTATGAATCAAACTTGGTGTCTTGTGAATGCTAGCTTGAATTTATTTTATTTACCACATTATTGTCTTTATCTACCAGAATCAAAGCTTCATGACAACAATGCCTTTGGCTGGTTTTCTGGCAACTAGATCTGATCCTAGCATTCATGAAGTGCTTAATAAGTATCTGTTGAATAAGCTAATTCTCAACCCTCTACAGTCCAAGCCTTATCTCTGAGCTTCATGGTAGCAGACATCTCTACTTAGATAGGTTGCCTCAAAATCAATATGCCCCGGTACTGATTTTATGCTCTCCCCTATCCTGACTTATGCTTTATAACTTAAATATATTTTACTAATTATTTCAGAATTTCATATACACTGTGTAGAATGAGTTTTGATCATGTTTACATCCAACTCCTCTCAGATCCAGCCTGACCCCCTCCCAACTCCTTGTCCTCTTTATGTTTTTCTTTATAACCCGGTTTGTGCTGTCTCTTTACTCACTGATGCTAGGTCAATTTATGCTTCTTAACCATATTAAACAGGCACCACTGTTATTTAACTTCACATAAGACTGAACCTGATGCTTAGGTAGGTTAAATAACTTACTCAAAGTCCAATGACCTGTAAGGAAAGCTGAAACTCAAACCCAGAGCTCTGAGTCTGTAATTTTACTTTTAGCCACAAATACATAACTACAGCTGACCCTGAGTGCTTACTGTGCCAGCTGCTGAGCTACACTAAGAGTTTTATACGTATTTCTCTATTAGTCCTTCATAAAACAATCTATGAAGGAGTACTTATTATCTCCATTTTAAACCTAAGGAGAGTAAATAATTTGCCCCAAATCATAGAGTAACTAATCATGAACCTGGGATTCAAGCATCTTCTCAAGCTTGCTCCTTATCTTCCTCATATCCTACCTTCTCTATGATTAAAAACTGTACAATATTCTTCATCATTATTCCTTCCACCTCTCCACTACCATTTTGCTTTAGCTTTATTTTGTTGTTTGGGTGGGGTCACTGTTCTTCTCCCATACAACCCCATCCCAGCTCTGGTTATTTAATGCCTCTATAGCTTTATTAAAGCTTACTACTTTGGTGGGCTAATGCTATCCTCTCTTCTTCCTCAGGCTCACATTCCTTTTCCTCTTAAACACCTCAGAACAGAAATCCCCTTTCCCAGGAAGCCTATCCTCGCTTGTTCCCTCTTTGGGTAAATGCTCCCCTGACTGCTTTCATGGTACCCCATGCATCTCTCTTTATACCATTTTACACTGTCCTTCTGTGTGTAGGCCACTTCTCCTCACCAGAGCACAATGATCGCCCACATTCATACAAACACCCAAACAGTTTGTATCCCCAGTGCCTAACTTGTTTCTTAAGACACTGAGAAAGCGTTGATGTTTTTTTTTTTTTTTTTTTTACATTAAGAATAAACAACATCAAAGGTTACATGATGCTGTACCAGGGCTATTAATTAATTCAGGACATTAAACATCCCAGCCTGTATGCCTTCTGAACAGAACTGCTCAATCAATAGTATAAAACATTGTGTACTTTTGAAATACTTATCCCATACAGACAGCATTATGTAGAGATATGGAAAAAGGTTAGGATATACTTTGCTAATCCTAAAAGTTTTAGGATAAGAAATATCACTACTATTGACAACCATAAGGTGTGTGTTGAGGGGGTAGAGGCCCTGAAACTTTAGTAACAACCCCCTCAACATGGCAAAGGCTTGTCAAGATTCAGGGAATTTTGATTTTGTCATGGCCTAGGTTCATTCATAACCCAGAAAATGACATACACTATTCTGTAGTTCACACACACACACATGCACCCCCAACAGCACTACAGCCCTCAAATTCCAGCCGTTGACCCACCTCTCTATTTTAGCCTGTCTTTGAGATGCCATAGCAACGAGATTTGGATAGGCCATGGAGGAGCTAGCAGTATTATTTTCAGCTGAGTTATTCTTGGTTTGGGGTAGCTGAAACTCTGCCACATGATAGCAATGACACTGAGTTAAGAAATTTATGAAGTGTTCTCGAGCCCGCTGCAAATGATCTAGACGCTTGCTGGGGTTGACTTGTTTCATGGTGAGAGCTCCTTGCAACGCTGGCACCATCAGGTACTTCAGGTCGGTGGAAGCAATTTCTTCCAAATCTTCATTTCGGCTGGAAAGAGCAAAGAGGAGGCGGTGAAGCCTGGTTGAGCATTAAACCGTGGCCCTTGCTTCTGGGGGGGAAAACAGGGCTGGGAGAGAGTGGTGCAAACGGGACAACATTGGCCAGATTAAAAGAAAGTAGCTGAGCGTGCGTAAACCCTAGCGAGTCAGCCGTACACTAGGAAGCACTGTCCTGGGATATTAACCATCTCAGAAGAGAAGTGGACAATGCAAAGAATGCAGACAGGGTGAGAAAGTAGGGACCCAGCTACTTTAGCCTTAAAGGTCCTTTCCACCCATATGCAATGGCTCTACCCTTGCTAACCATTTGTTCTCTGCGGTTACTGCCCTCTCCCCCATACCTCAACAAATCAAGCTGCGATAGCATTCCGGCAGCCTTCTCAATGAGGTCCAATCCTTTGGAAACCTTGTCCTGGATTGTTCGGGAGCCAGTGGGTTCAGTCGCTACTTCCACTTCTTCCAGAAGTTTCTTGCTGTTTTCGAAGAGCTCCGGAAGCCGCGGCAGCTGTAACTCCTCTTCAGACGCTGCCATCTTGTAGGAGAAAGAAACCCGGAAGAACTCGGACATAAGTCAAAGGTAAACTCCTCAAAGAGCCCAAAAGGTCTCACGACACCGGAAGCAGTACCTCACTGGCCAGTTGCTCGCTACCAATGGGTCCCAAATGACTTCTGGGAATAGTAGTTTTCTGACCCCGGCAACCGTTTTGATGGACTCATTTTCACTCAGGCAGCTTGTTTTAAAGTCGTAGGTGCAGTTTTTTTTTTTTTACTGAAGATGAGCTCCTCACGTCCAGAAGTGGATTAGCAAGTTCCTAGGACTCTGAGGCCCGGGAGTGGCTGGGCTGAATTCTGAGTGCAAGCTAGCGTGAGAGGGTGAACGTGGGTGCGGTGCGGGGAGGGTCAGACGCCCACTTTTCCTCGCAAATCAAGTCGTTCCCCAAGTAGAGTCCCGATGGCTAGGGACCACTTTCTCCGTTTACAGGTCTGTTTACCATAGCGAGCGCGAAGTGTAAGTGGCGCTCTCGTCAGTTTTCCATTGCCAGTCCAAGCAATCCTCATCCGCTGGGTTCCTTTTTCTGTCACCTTCTTCTGTCTCCACACACTCGAATGACCGACCTTTGGGCCGGCAGCCTATGAAGCCTCTTTCTTTGTTCAGGCACATTTGGAAAACTTGCAACTCCCATCTGCCAACAACCGGCTGCCTTTCTTGTCACTTTGTTTCCAGGTCACACTTCTGTGCAATCTCCTTTCCCCGTACACGGTGCCTTTCCCCCAGCCATCAGAGTTTCTTTTGTGCATGAACACAGCACTGATCACACTGCATTGATAGCTGGTGGTTTACAAATGTCTCTGCCTTGCCATAATGAATCTGATCCATTTTAGCACCCCCTCTGGCTAGCCTGCATACTTAAGTTACCCATAGTCATGATCCGAATAGAAAAATAAAGCGATTTCTTTGGAAAGCAGCTTATAATACTGCAGAATGGCGCTCTTTAATAGGTGGCTATTTAGTGCTCAGACGTGACTATTTTAAATTGAGATGTATTGTAAACCAATTTCGATGACATAATCAAAACATGTTAACTATCTCAACACTTTGAACACATGTTAAATGATTATATGCATTTGAGACAGGATCTCACGTAATCCAGGCTGAAGAAAGATGACTTCTAACTTCTCTCCCATGTGCTGGGATTTTAAGAGTGTGCCACCACATTTGCTTTGTGTGGTGCTGGAGCTTGAACCCTAGGCCTTGTGCAGCCTACACAAGCACTCTACCAGTTGAACCACACACCCCCTCGTAATAGTATTTTAGTATATTCAGTTATTCATTCTTAAAATAAATTTTATTTCTTTGTTTTATAAAAATATGTGCCAATTGTTTTTTTTTTAAAACAAAACAAAACAAAACAAAACAAAACAAAACGTTCTCAGACTTGCTATATAGGCAAGGATGATACCAAACTTCGGATCCTGGGCTTCCACCTTCTGAGTGATGCTTACACCTGGAGAGTAGTGGAGACCATAGTCATACCGGGTTTATTTGGTGCTGGGATTGAAGTAGAGCCTTATGCATGCCACACAAGCACTATACAAACTGAGCTACATTCCTGATCCAATGTACAAGAAAATTTAAAACAAATATATTATAAATGTATTGTTATTCTTTATTGTCTTGTGCCTATAATGTATGTGTGTTTGAGCACATGTGTTGAGGGTGGAGGACAACTTTTTAAAGTCAGTTCTCTTCACTTTTTTTTAATATATTTATTTATTATTTATACAGTATTCTGCCTGCATATGTGTGCTTGTGAACCAGAAGAGGGCATCAGATCTCACTATAGATGGTTGTGAGCCACCATGTGGTTGCTGGGAATTGAACTCAGAACCTTTGGAAGACCAGTCAGTGTTCTTGACATCTGAGCCATCTCTCCAGCCCCTCTCTTTTCACTTTTATGTGGGTCCCAGGAATGGAACTTAGGCTGCCAGGTTTGTGCAGCAAGTGCCTTTACCTGCCATCTGGCTGGCTAGAAAATTTAAAGTTTCACTTATGGTTCACACATTCCTGTTATACTGCGCTAATATAAAATATAATTCCAGGGCTTTGAAAGGAAAGCATATCACTGCTTTGGATGAATAGTTATAAATACATATTGATTAACTTAATGCTCTATCTGAGTTGTCCTAGGAGATTTAAGTTAAATAGAAGGCACACTGCCTGCCCCCTGAAAATAAGGTTTTTAAATTAAATATGGCTGATATATATATATATATATATATACACACACACACACACACACACATACACAATTAGAGGGCAACATAGGACAGTGTTGTATTGTAACCAAGAACTGACAAATCACTCCATGCTTATTTATTTATTTATTTCTGGGGGTGGGGGTACACATGCCAAGGTGAGAGTGTGTGTGTGTGTGTGTGTGTGTGTGTGTGTGTGTGTGTGTGTGTG